CGAGCATGGTAAAGGCTTAGGATATCGAAGACCATTTTTTGATAAATTTCGAATGAATTTAGATTGACAAAGACTGAAGACTTATTAGACTTTTAAAATAAACTGCGTCATGCAGCGCCTTTTACAGAGATCTTCTGCGAGGGTTGACGGATCATTTTTAGCTCATCTTAGCGGTTTATGATTCAATATGATGATAATCGTACGACGAGAATATGGATATAATCTTCAGAATGATATAAAAGGAATCCCGGGTTCAAACTTCATTAAAGGAAAGCTACGGATTCTAAGCGAGTGCTTAGCAAAATTTGGAGAGTTTGGAGATGGAAGAAGATTCGTTAAAGGGGAAGTAGATGTTTTGCCAAAAGCCGTCTATTTGCACAAGAGAAAAACGAGAAAGTAAAAGAAAGTATTGGGATTAGGCAAAGAAAAATGTGGAAATTGGTGAGCTTGATATGAAAAAGTATTGGAAACAGATTGCAATTTTCTCTTTCGACATGGTTTATTAGAAAAATCAGCCTGCACTAAGTTTTTCCTACTTCCACAATTAAAGAAGATGATTTTTACTATGGAACCAAATTCTATCTTCATTTTTTAATTAATTTTTTAAAAACGGTTTTTGGTAAAGTGATAAACTTAGTCAGAGCTGTGCGAAAACATACAAAGCTAATATTTAACGGCGAGAACAATGCAATTTGTTATGATGGCGCGCGGATGAGGTCGAGATGACAATGTCCGTGGGCTGAATTAGATGGGATGATGTCATTTTGTCCTAAAGGTGAAAAGCGCGACGTCAGTTGACGCCAGCGGAAGCATAAGAGTTGCATAGACTTGTACTGAGCTACTAATAGCAAGGCGTTTGGGAATAATATTAAAGAACATTTGAGAATGCGTGGGTGCTGAATATTTTAAGCGCAGTTAATGAAAGATGTAGAAAATGTAAAAAGAAGGCTGACTGAAATATACAAGAGAGATTTGCATCTAATAATTCCATAATATTCGAAGGAGAACTAGAAGAGAAAACAGCGACATTATGGACATAAAAAAGGCACACTATAGTAGTCAATGAATGACCGCGTCGCTCTCGTATCATAAAAAGTAGAAGAAAGTTTGAAGAACGGGCCTTGAGGCGACG